GCCAAATTTTCCTTCTTAAAACGTGTTATTTTGACGCAATTTAATTATATTTTTCCTTGAGATTTTCAGATATTTTAGATTAAATTGCGAACAAAATAGTCTGAAAAATTGGAAGAAAAATATTTACAATTTCCCCAATAAATTCGTAATTTATCAGAGGAAATTTGGCAACGCCTGAAGGTTCATACGGCGTTTTTCCTTAGCATGACAGTATTGATGCACCTTTCGATCCCGCGAGCGTGGTCTGGCGCATTCTGCAAGTCATTTTTAGCTGGGCGTGCATCGCGAGGTTTGCAAAAAATGATAGTATTCGATTGAAATTAGCTCTTTAAGTGTAGATCTCGATAATGCCTCTCCCTTTCGTAACATAATAAAATTTTGTTAGTCGTACAATAATTTGGCCATTTTGCTTACCTTTTTTAACTTTTTAAATGTTTACCACCTTTTTCAAAAAAACCGTGAACATGTTCAAGCTGGCGTCGATGGTGAATTGATTTATCGCTTACTACTGATTTTGCGTCCCGCTCCATTCGCGACAGGCAGTATTTTTCAAATCACAGCTGCGCAAAAACGTTTCAAAACCGACACAAATCTTTCAGTTTTTTACTACGACACAACCCAAACCTTTCTGTTTAAAAATTTTAGAAAATTTTATTTGTAACGAAAAGGAGGGTCAGTGATATTTCCAGTTAGAAACATCCAACTGTATTCAATTTTTTAAAAAAATGTGAATGAAAATTTTGCAACGTTAAAATCTGGTCACGATTTTCCGATTTCCGAAGATTTACGTCCGGGAAAAGTTAAATTTGGGTCATTTAAAGAAGATGATCTAGTTCAAAGCCATCAACAACCTGTCCCCTCCACTTCTTCGCGACTGGTTCTCAACTGAAATCTTCACCGATCTTAATTTATGTCTCTTGCTATGAGATCACGAGATTCCTCTGCGTGTTGTGTATCTGATCTCAACTAGCAATGAGCGATTTTATTGATAGATGAGAAAATTTTGACTTCAAATAGACAACATTTTGCAATGAGGAACTACAATTTCTGGTTCATCTTGAAAAACAAGTTACGTTCCATTACTTTCCATAATTATTTATATAGGTGATTTTGTGGATGAGCCACAAACACTAGTTCCTTATTACAAAATGGAGTCCAAATGTGCTTTTACTTCATCAATCCAAAACTTCAAAATTTCAAGACTGCATTTTTAAACGTAATTGGCTACTTACAGCTACAGTTGCTGTACATAAGAGCAGATTTTATGGTGTGGCACATAGTAAAAGTATGAAAGATGGACCAATTTTGGCCCAACATAGACTTTTGAGTGATCAAATTGGAGTTCTGACAGCATTCTCTCAGCATTTTTGCACGGTATCTGACAAAATTTACGAAAAAGTAAAAAGAACCTCTCAAAAAAAAAAAAAACTCTTGAGACAATGGGCCGAATAGGAAATATCATATGGTATTCTTCAAGGGGGAATAGTAAAAGTGCAGTGTATTGTTCTCCCAATTATTCATTTATTATTTTTCTTACCTCGTAAACCACGATTGTTGCATAAAATTCTTGAGCTCTAATTCCTTTTACTTTTTTTCGCACATGCACTATTGAAATTTTTAAAAATTATCATATTTTACGAAATATTATACTTTTTGTACTACCAGAGTACTAACATTGAACTTTTTTAGAACTAGTTTTGAAAATCCGTGTATGAGAGGTGCTGATACCACAGTTTTGACGAAGGGTTGAGTAAAATGTATTTCAAGGTTGTTTCCATCATGAAACAACCATTTACCAAGAGCAGTTTGTTCAGAAAACGTGAGCTAAGTATCTAGGGATTAGATATGATATGCCAGACTGCCTTCAATTTCAGCAGATACTACATGCGTAACTGAAGCAGACGATGTACTTGATTTTGATCAAGTCTTGATTTTTAATAGAGTGCTCAGTCGCTTAGTGTATCATTAAAAGAAACATATCAATAATTTTGCATTGCATGACTCCTCGTGCATTGAAAATAGTTTCAATTACACTCAGTCAATTTTCTCTGAAAGCGAAACAAATGATGAAAAAATCAAAAATTGATTTGATCGGAATTTTTTTGAAAAATCCTCAACTGATCTTCTTGGTTTCGTTAATTTATTCCGCTTCCAAAAAAAAATTAGACGCGTCGAAAGACATATTATTTGCTTCGATACGCATGGTAGCAGTGTCTAGTAAAGGAGCAATAATCAGTGAGACACAAAAAGAGTTAAAATATTATATTATGAAAAACAAATAGAAATCATATGATACACATAAATGATTCATAGAAGACGAAAGTAAACACAATAAACATTGAGTAGAACATGTATCAACAAAATAAGTTAATTAATATACTTAGGTACCCATCTAAGAATTCAGAATAGTTTGTCAGCCACTGATGGGATTTATCATGGAAATGCAGTCCTCGCATCTTTGGTGAGAGAGTATGCGGACGTAAAAAATGATAGTGATTGATATAAGAAACATAAAATATCTTTTTTTTTTCTATGAGATTGTTGAATACAATGAAGTGAGCTCGCCACCCATCCGCTGCTCATTTCTACTTAGCTTCGATGAACACTCTGATAGGCTCCAAAATAGTTCTGGAACTCCAGCAAGAGGAGTCACTGATATCACACTCAGGCATCAGTAACTCAGTACTTTTCTTGGATTGCCTTCAAAGCAAAGCTCTCAAATTTACGTGGTATTATGCAAGATTTTCTCAGGGATGTTTAACTTTCTTGCCAAAATTTTGAATTAGTTTTAAAATCAGTAGAACTCGAGCCTAAGTATAGAGCGAAACTAATTGAGCTTGTCACAAATGAGTATATCTTCATACTTTTAAAATAGAAAAAACGAAAAAAGAATATATCTAAACTGTTAAAAGTGTGTTCATGGTAGAATGGACAGGAAATTTTTTCGTTCCTTTTTTATGATATGTAAACATATCGGATAGACCCAGTGCACGGCAAACTGCGATAATATTTTAACTTTGGTTTTACATTAGGACAAAATAAAATTCGTAGCCAGAATTAATTCAGTGAAAATACTACTTTGGTATCTATCTCTCACCGGTAGTTATTGTACTTCTGATAATTCAGTTGCCTCGGAGAAACAAGACCTAAAACTAGCATAATATACTTAAAAACTAAAAATTTATCCTGAGAGCTAAAAATACGTATCTAAACCAATAATACTAGATGTACAAAATAATGTAAGAAATTATCAGGGAGCAAAGATTCTAAATCAATTACTGACTTTAACTCCATTGAGTTTTCTTAAACTATTGATAAGGACCAAGGGCGGATCCAGCAATGCGGCAACATCGGATTTCTTCCATTTAAACCCATGTTATATAATCGATGATTGTCAGAGTACCTGGCTCCTACAAGAATCGATACATCTCCATAGGTGTAAATGGGAAAAAAACAATGTTGCCAATTTTCTGGATCCGCTAATGATAAGGACTCGTGAATTTGAGTCGCACATAATCAATCTATTTCAGAGTTGATTTTACTCTCACCTTCTTACGAATAATTTATCAAAGTAAAGTATATGTTGTTCAATACAGATGTTAAAAATCCTTATAGTTTTAGTGGAAAGACGATGCAGACGTTCGCATAACAAACATCTTGGAAAGCACAAGTAGGTAATTATCTCTATATAAATTAGTTACCATCTCAATTACCATTCAAAAAACGGGTAAAAGAGACAGACTATGAGTTATATCCTATCCATCGGCATAGACTTGACTGATTATCTGAAAATCATCCTATATTCGGAATGATACTCCAGCTCTTTTTCAGAAAAGGAGAGTAGGAATATCCAGCGATGGACTTAAAATCATTACATATTGCACCTTGATGCACCGGGCACTATAGTTTTTTTATTTGACTTTTCGTGTAAAATATTGGTATATTTACAATTGTATTCTAAAACTAGAAACAAAAAGATGATAGAAATTATTGCACATCATTCTTTCGAATTTTACAAAAATCGATTAGATGTAGGTGTTAGCCCAAAATGTTCACGATAGGACCAACATTAGAGTTGATCTAAACACCAATGGTCACCCAGCGTTTTGACTGATGAATTTTTTAAATGATATTTTTTCTGAATTTATCTATTCGGATTGTAGGAAAACAATTAGGTTGGATTCATCAATTTCAGTAATCCAAAGAAATTGTGATGGTATGTTATATACACCCTTACTAATATAACTTGGATTTAAAGATCATTCTTTTTAACGATAAGGTTTTATACTCGACAGTTTTGAATTTCACTTTTTCTCAGCGGATCTCGCAAAATTTTCATGGAGAATACAAACAATTTACTAACGATACTTCTCAAATCCTAGGAAAACCCGTAGAAGAAAATTTTGAAAGGTACATTACTGCCGTGCTAAGGAAGAACGCCGTATGAACATTCTAAAGTTGCCAAATATCCCTTGGTGAAACATGTATTATTGACAAGATTCATGCATATTTTTTCTTGCAATTTTCAGATATTTTAGATTAAATTGCCTACAATATTGTCTGAAAGTTTTGGAAAATAATATTCAAAATTTTCCCATAAATTCGGTTTTTATCGGAGGAAACTTGGCAACGTCTGAAGGCTCATACGGCGTTCTTCCTTAGCACGGCAGATAAGCGGAGAAGGGAGGAATGCTAGTAAGTTAAATGTTCACCCGATTTTTTCTTTAGGAATGATGAGGAGGCAACAAGTCTAAACCTTATTTAATTTTAAGGGGAAGAAGGTTTTGAAATGCCTGAAAGGTGACGAGTAAGGTTGAAGAATTTGGGAGACTACTTGACCTCATAGACGGACAGCCACGGGGTTGATATCCCTACAATATTTCCCGTGAAAAATTATAAGCATTCTTTGTTTTGAACATATCTGTTCTAATATTAATGTTGGTGATATTTTTACCAACACTTTATATTGCAGCAGCAGGTTTACACAGGAAAGAATCAAGTTTTCGGATGTTGAAAGAAACATGAAAAACGTTTAAATGCTAATGAAGCGATATAAAATTTACGTCGCGCAGTGAAGGAAGTCAGTGGACGAGATCAGGCATGAATGAAAAATTTAAAAGCTTATGTCTTTTTTTATGCTATACGTTAAAGTTATAGCGAGGTCCCATTGGTTTTTCTCGTAAAATTTTCCTTAAGAGGCACCTTTCAAAATTTGCAGAATTGCTGAGCGAAGCAGACATCAAAAGAAGCTAGAGTTCGTAAAAAAATTCATGTCCGATCTCTCCCAATAACTTGTTTCACTGAATGTCATGGGAAGATTATCAATAGATGAAGGTAAATCAGCATTTGAGAGTTTGATTACATCCTGGGTGCCTGATCAATACTTTTTTTAGATTGACGCCTTAATTTAGTTTCTTCATCGGCCACTTTTTAGGATATGAAAATGAAGGATGAAGTTTCCGTTCGTGCAAACAGTCACTTAAAATAAAGCAAATTGGACTCCATCACAGCTTTTATAATGTAGTTTTCGACTCTAGAAAGTGAGTATTACAGGTCTTTCACGCTGGCTGCTTCTCTCGCGTGTGTGAGGTCTCCAGTAGATGCCGATGAGAAGAAAAGACTGCTGATCTTGGACAGTACCGCCAGGAAAAATTCCGAGTTGTTGAAGAAAAACCACATGATGAATCCGTAAAACATCAGTGTGGTGAGCCAATCCAGCCAGTAAAGCCTAGAAACGATAACGTAACATACGGTCAATTCAATGAACTGATCAAAACATTTGTTTTCTTATGTTATTTTTGGTTACTATAGGAAGTGAAAAACAAGCCAACACAAATTTTATGTTGATTTTGGTACAATTTGCTGTGAATTTAGCTCAGAAAAGAATGGAGAGGCCGCTTTTCGTACACTCAATGTAATTCCCAAAAAGAGTCCTGTACAGGTACTCTCATTAAAATATGTGTGTCCTTGTGTTAATTTTGGTTAATATAGGAAGTGAAAAACAAGCCAACACAAATTTCATGTTAATTTTGGTACAATTTGCGGTGAATTTAGCTCAGAAAAGAATAGAGAGGCTGCTTTTCGTACACTCAATGCAATTCTCAAAAGAAGCCCTGTACACCGATTAAAATATTTGTGTTCTTGTGTTAGTTTTGATTAATATAGGAAGTGGAAAACAAGCCAACATAAACTTTATGTTGATTTTGGTACAATTTGCAGTGAATTTAGCTCAGAAAATAATGAAGAGACTGGGAAAATGCATTCCTCCGAGTGCAGCGTTGGTACACATCACTCGTTTTTTATTAAAATTCCTCAAGAAGGCTGACAGTATATGCATTATGAAAATATGGCAATTTCAATTTCGATGCCCAACTCCCAGCTGTTGCACGTTGTTAAAACTTTGAACAACACAACGAGCGAATTTTATTTAGAGTTCCGAACCTCGGGGAAGTTCTGCCTCGGTTTGTCACCTTAATCACAAACACTAGTGGACATCGTTGCTACCAGATTCGACCGATCAGATTCATTGTTTTACGATGGATGGACACTTTTTTAGAACCACCTCACGAGGCGGTACCAAAATCACGCACCGACGTTGTGATTCGTTAGTCATCGAATCGGAAGTTCCAAACTCATATGAAATGGAAACTCGGGGGTTCGTGCGCGAAAGTAGTACCGGACCTCCATATAAAATTCGCTTAACCTGGGAAAGGAACGTAGCTCGATGAAGAAGCCCACTAAAACCGTTTTACTCTGCATTTTGCTTTAAGTAGCCTGTAGGTTTTCATCTGAGTGGGGAATATCCAAAAGCCCCGTAGCTGGTATAAACTAAAAAAGTGAATATCTCAGTTACAGTTAGAGTTGATTTTAGTAATGGAGATGTTCCATGTGTGAGGAATTTGCGATTCTTATGTAAAAGTTCGCGAGAAACACGATGGTGCCACTGGTTTTCTCTGAAATCAACTCCCAAGCTCAAAAAGAGCTCTCAAGATGAGGGCAAAATGGTGGGGATATCCCACGCTATGCTGACAGTCCACCTCTACATCAAGACAAACTCTCCATGCAAAGATAGGGAGCAAATACATTGACAGGGCTGCCACTTTATTTGGGGACTCCAAATCTGAAAACACGGCATCACTGCTAATGTATTTGCTCCCTATCTTTGCATGGAGAGTTTGTTTTGATGTAGAGGTGGACTCTTAGGATAGCGTGGGATATCCCCTCCATTTTGGCCCAACTTGAGAGCTTTTTTTGAGCTTGAAAGTTGATTTCAGAGAAAACCAGTGGCACCATCGTGTTCCTCGCGAACTTTTACATAAGAATCAATAGTCAAATCGCATATTCCTCACCTATGCAACATCTCCATTTTCTTTGCTCGGATTGTGTTCCCTCATGAAATTTTGGACGGAAAACACGTATCAGAATGCTTTAATTTGCACCTTGTCTAGTAGTCCATTGCAGTGGCGATTCTTGAACGTCGACAACGCTGTTTTTCCCCCATTCAAATCCATTAAAAATATCGATATTAGGTGAGGCAAGCTGTCTCACCAAGAATCGATTGTTTTACTTGCATTTAAATTGAGAAAAAACAGCGTTGCCAACTGAACTGGGATCAAATAGAACCCTGAATTCTTGGTAATTTTACCCTTTTCTTAGTAAATACACCGAGATTTTTTTTCAGTGTGTGGTTTGCAAGACATCCATACTCACATTCTCATGTGCCTCTTGGCGGAGGGCAGAGACTCGGGCATCTCCTTGAGAATGAAGATTCGGGCGGCCATGACGCAATTCATGAAGTAACCCCTGATGTCCATGTCTTCGCCATCGATTTTATACTCGAAACGCTCCCTCTTGTTGAGGATTTTCCGCAGGTAGTGCACATGCTCGTTCCGGAACTCCCATTGGTTGTTTGCGTAGTACTCGAACACTTCGAATCCTTTTTGCACTCGGTCATGGACCCGGCATAACCTGGAAAAAAAATTTCAAACATGGCGTCACCTTCCGGCCAAAGTATCACAAGCGCCATGTGGCATTTCAAAATTTCCGCCGCCTTTAAATTGTTTTACAGAGAAATTGTTTGTTGAATCTTAAATCAACGTATGCACAAAGAAAAAAATTTCGTGCATGGGACCCGAAGTTGAGGTCATATGGATCTCTGAAGTTTCTGATCACGCATCCGAAAACTTGAGGCCAACCTGCCAAAGTTCGGGTCAGACATCGAGGCACTCCGGCATGTACTGGAGTACTTCAGATGTGTGACCCGAACCCTTCGGCAGCTCGACTTCAAGTTTTTAGATTCGAGATCCGAAAACTTCAGAGATCCATATGACCTCAACTTCGAGTCCCACGCACGAAGTTTTTTTCTCCGTGTGATATAATTTAAACCACTTTACATAGTACCTATGCTATGAGTTTTTTTCCATAAACTCCACCATTTTCAAGAAAATAGATGACGAAAAACGTCCGTGCCGACCTACGTCATCAAAAAAATCCACACGGAGAAAAAAACCTCGTGCATTGGACCCGAAGGTGAGGTCATATGGATCTATGAAGTTTTCGGATCACGCATCCGAAAACTTGAGGTCCAACTGCTGAAGTTCGGGTCAGACATCTGAAGTACTTAGGTACATACCATAGAGTACATAGAGTCGTAATGTAAATGGGAGAGCTGGCGCCATGTTCTGCTCGACGAATTCCGAGCCCGGTGTGCGCCGAGTTCGGGTCGCTTTTTCGATACATTTTCGATCCAAAATGGCGGTGTGGAATACGTGGTAATTCCTATCTCCTTTGTTGTTGTTGTTGTTGTTGTCATCGGATGGCCGGGTACCCGTGTATCGCAAACAATCGATTATGTATCGAAAAAGTGACCCGGCGTCACACATAGGAGTCTCGGAATTCGGGACATGGAAAATGCTTAAAAGTGGCGCCAGCTCTCCCAATTACATTACGACTCTATGTACTCTATGGTACATACCCAAGGGTTCGGGTCACACATCTAAAGTATCCGGTACATACCTAAGTACTTCAGATGTCTGACCCGAACTTCGGCAGTTGGACCTCAAGTTTTTGGATGCGTGATCCGAAAACTTCAGAGATCCATATGACCTCAACTTCGGGTCTCATGCACGAAGTTTTTTTCTCCGTGCAAGATGCCGAAATCGCAAACGCCTTGAATCGGTGAACTGCACTTCGTTCCGAACATCTATTTTAATTTTAGAAATGAGGAGATTTTAAATTAGCACTTACACAGGTTTGTTGCCGGACAAGAAAATAATGGCATCCAAAAAGTAGGCGGGAATCCAGTGAAACAAAATGGTGCAAATATTGTGAAGAAATCGGCTAGTCTTCATGCTGCCTCCGGGATACCAGATCCCTCCGTTCAGAGGCACGTCTGATGTCACGATGTCTTTGCCTACATCTATGATTTCTTGCCAGGAGATCTGCCACTCTTGACTCGAAGTTAGATGGCATATATTCCGTTCGAAGTCCCTGTAATCATCAAAATTCATGCATTGAACCTTAATTACAATTGAGTAGCTTGAAGGACAAGGCGCATGAGTGCAGATTTTGAAAATATTGAGATACTTATGAACTCAACTAAAACTAGTTTAAAAGTGTATTCTGCAAAAAATTCACCGCTAAAATCCAACTTAAAAACATCAAAAAGTGAGTTTAAACTTCCTTTCTGCCATATGACTCCATTTAATTTTGAAACTTAAAACATATATTTCTTGAAATAGCAAAATCTGCACTTATGCGCCTTGTCCTCCAAGCCCCTCAATTATTGAACTGCATTTTGCAACGAGGAACCATTATCTCGTCACCTTCCAGGCAAAGTATCACAAGCGCCATGCGACGTTTAAAAATTTCCGCCGCCATTTTATTTCTTCACTGAGAAATTTTTGGTTGAATCTGTTTGGTAATTTCACTGAATTTTATCGGCAGCACAAAGAAAATTCAGTTAAATTTTCGGACAGCTTCGTTGAACAATTTCTCTGTAAAAAATAAAATGGCGGCGGAAATTTTTAAACGTCGCATGGCGCTTGTGATACTTTGCCTGGAAGGTGACGATCTCAGGCTAATTTTAACAAGTTGGTTTTTGCAATCGCTAGCGATAGCAATATTCGTCATGGGAACTTTTGCTTCTGGGGTATGAAAATTTTAAGGTACAGTACGTTTGTAGTATCTTCAGAATTGAAGGGGATATGTAATTTTGTGTCGACATCTCTTTTTTAACATTTTTAATTTTTTTTCTTTGCATAAAAGAAAGCTGTTATTTACCAATTATTTATTTTCGTTGGATTATATGTATGGTTTTTGGAAGTTAACGCATTTAACTTTCAGTTTCGTTTTTTCGGCGTAAAGTATGATATTTTTACTCTACGCATATGCCCGAATACGCATCATAACGACGGTGAAACTACCAAACCACGTATCTCGTTTGCGGTGTTTAAAAATCTCCGCTCACATTTTATTTTTTTAAAGTAGACCAAATCAATATCATTCCTTGAAATTTTCACAGAATTTTCTCCGCACGAAGAGGAAAAATCACGGAAATTTTCAAGACTGACGTTAAGTAGCTTTTCATTTAAAAAATAAAGTATGACAGAAAGTCTGCGACGTCGCAAACCGAGATACGTGGTTTGGTAGTTTCACCGTCGATAAGTGACCTATGTGCTTCCTAAGTTGCCATTTTTTTCATTCAAATAGATGTAACCGAAATGTTAGATGTGTACTACCAATACTACTTTCATGTCATTGCTTTATTTATTTATTTACTTTTTGCGTAGGTATAAATTGTTATTTTTTGCTGAATTTTGGAGAAAATATTGCTTTAAGAACGTGGAATGTAAATTAATTTTATTGAAAAAAGAAAATACCATCATTAATTTGGGCGAACAGAGAAAATATACATCAATATTTGGGTCAACATCTCCCTGATTATATAAAGGATGAATATATTAGTATTTCTGTATCAAAAAACTTAGCTTTTGTCTTCAGAGATACGATGATTCTAGTCCCAGTCAATTTGTTTTATTGAAAAAACAAAAAAATAAAAAATAAATAAAAAAAAAAAACAACTGAAATGTTAGACATACTATTTTCATGTCTTTCTATTTGTATCAATAGGTACTTTTTGCTTAACTTACGAACGTTGAATGCAAATTAACTTTATTGAAAAAAGAAAATAACGTCATTAATTTGGGGGAACATGTGGCTGATTATATGAAGGAGGTATATTCGAGTATTTTTGTTTAACATATTAACTCACGAGAAAATGTTCGTACATTTATCATCTAGTATTAATTATTTGTTGATGCTTAGTCTAAAACATTCAATACAACCATTAAAAAGTAACACGCATCGTCGGGTATCGAACTCCTGATCGCCTATTGCCCGCACCAAGTCAAAAATATGAGGCGGTTTAGTCAACTAGGCTATAACGGTTCCACGAGCGCGGGAGTAAAAATAGCATTTAAAAGACTCGGGCAACGGGCGGGACTTATCACAAGAGACCTTGACGCTTTGAACGTTGCTTTTAGCGCATTGGCGTGTAGGAGCCATGGTTCGCACTGTTTTAATGCGTCTCGAGGTTCATCCCAGCACGCATGCCGATCGCGGCAGTTGAGCTAAGGCAATATTTTCGTATCCATGAATTAAATCAATCAATCGAGCTCTGATTTTGACTTCTTTATCCGTAACGAGTCCTCCAGAACAATTTTCCACCTTGTACGATGGTTATTATTTCTTTACTTCTATTTTTCAAATTTGAGGTGGGATAATGGCGGCTTCTCAAGAACACCGAGGTAGGCGATCTTTTGCACCAACGAACAGAAAACTGATGGCGAAAAATAACCAATCAGAACCTCCCAAAAAAAAGAATTTGCCTAAAAACGGAACTTCGTGGTTCTGCGCAGATTTACCAGTCAGACACGACATGTTAAGGTGGAAAAAAACTCGCTGAAAGCGAATTTTAGCAATCAACACAACTTGACGTAGAGACATGATTGGCTAAAAAATACAACGGTTTTTGATACATCGGAAAATCAACCAAAAATCGGAGACTGGGCGAAACGCTCAAGGTCGCAGAGGTATAGGGAATTCCATAGCGAAAGCAACGGAACGATTCTAATATCATGGGGAACTCCGTTCCCATGACAAAATTGGCATCTGTGCGCCAATAGAATTTTTATGCAGATACGTGATTCAGTGAGTGCTCGCTTACCCTGTTACTAAAGAAAAATTACTTAAATTCTCGATGGCGAGGCGTGAATGATGATTGATTATCGATAATTTCCCATTTGAAGCTACGGTAAATAATCGATTATTAAGGTGTTCGTTGCGAACACCCTGTTCATCGATCCTTTTCCATAGGATGAAATGGCAAATCAATTGATGTATCGCAGAGCTCGTCACTTCACTGAAATTCCTTGACTAAATATCGCAATTTAAGACAGTGAAAAACTTTTATATCATTTAATTTCCCTGGAAAGAGGTGTTGTTAATCGTTTTTAAACCTACTCTTATTTGAATTTTTTGTTATTATAAGAATAGTCTCTGAAAATGTTACACAAAACTATCTAGCATGCTTAGCAAAAATAAAATGTGAGAAAGAATTTGCAAATACCTAAATTAAGATTTGCTATTTGGTAGTTTTTTCATTCATATAATCAAACACAACCCTATTTACTCCACCGTTTGCAGTTTGTATTACGATTTTGGTAGAGCAAACCCTGGAATATTTTTTCTGGGCTATCGTAATATCATTACGAACTAAGCTTTCGTAGTTCCAATTCCATTTTTCACTAAAAGTAAAATAAGGATGCACCTCCAAGAGAATATCGACGGCGTAAGTCCGAAATTACATACATAGCTCTTTTTGCGGTGTCTGAACATATCCGCCTCTATATGTTATTTATTTAAAGGAGAACATAATCATGAACATCATTCTTCGAAGTTTTTGCAGAATTTTCTTCGCACAGAGAAGAAAAATCACGGCAGTTTTAAAGAATTGCCGCGTTGAGTAGTTTTCCGTTTAAAATATAAAGTATGACAGGAAGTCTGCGACGTCGCGAACCGAGTTATGTGATTGCCGACTTACACCGTCAGTTTCCAAATGTGTGGTATCTGAACCTTTTAAAAGGTAAGAACAATTACTTACTTGTTGTACATGTAATTCCAAGCGGCCAACAGGATACCATTGACACAGATATCAACAGGCAAATAATCGGCGTATCCTTTATTATTACAATACATAGTCCTAATCACACCCTTGCCAGCCCCAATCAAAAGGCCGGTAGGTCCGTTGATGTTATCCGTCCAACCGGGAAGGGGCTCCTTCCACACCGGAATCACTGGAAAAATCCAAGAATAGAAGTTAAGAATTATGCTTTAATGAATGATTTATAGCTAAGAATACTGAGAAAACAGCCATAACATTGGGTAACAGTGATATAGTAGCGATGAGAATAATTGTTATTGACACAGCAGCCACGCAACATGCCCCAGAATGGTGAACATAAAGCCCCAACTGAGAACTTATGGAAAGACAAAGCGCCTTCAATTTTCCGCACGCAACACGCGCGTCCTTGGAGCACGTATAGTTGTATCCAGAAGTTGTGTTCATTGACCCATTGCGTTCACCTATGAGTCGAAAGACTTTGTACACTTATCCTGTAAAATATGAAGGTTCTTTTACATGTGAACTAGGGGCTTATGGAGCTGCTTCGCAGCCCCTTATTTTTCCTGTACACTTTTCACTTTGAACTTTAAAGCAATAAGGTCCATCACCCGGAATATCAATTCGATTTGCAGAGAAAGAGGCAAAAGCAACAGCACTATTATAATTTCTGATATGCTTTATGAAATTTGGAGAATATAAAAATAATGATTTCAAATCGGTATTCGTCCGAATACTCGGTAAAGAAATTAAGCCATTTTGGCAGCAGTTATTAAAATGACCATTGGACATTTCACCCTGAAAATGGCGAGCATCACAATGATGACAAATTATATTCATTGAACCGACTGAAAATTTGGTAACAAAATTTTCATCAAAGTTCTGATCATCAATTTTATACTTCCGAAATGAAGAAATGAAACTTTGATTTTCTATACTAATAACAGAGTTAAGTTCTTGCTTCACTAAACGAACATGCCAAGAATTCTGGAAAACGCGACCACGTTTTGGAGGACGACCGCCTCGGTCATTGAAAATTTCACTCATAACAACTGTTCAATTTAAAATTAAAATTAGTAAAAATTATTATTATTTTAACAAAATCATAACTGAAAAGTTCAATTTTTAAATTAAAAAAAATAAATCAGAAGAAAAAGGATGAAATGAAAATGGAAATTAATAATAAACATATTTATACACATTGAAAAGAAACAGCGTGAAAAGTTCTGATCGGAAATGAGAAAAAAAACTTGGAGGTTATTGACTTAATGAGGAAAAATTGGCAATAGAACCAATCATGAAAAACCGTAAAAAAAACGCGGGAAAAGAAAAATGTAAGTTGATGGCAGTTGAGTGTTGGAAGTAACCTCACTCTTAATGATGATTGTTGAATGAAAACAGCTGATAAAAAGACAGCAAACAGTAAAGTAAGATGCGTAGCAACAAAACTTTTCCGAAAAACAAAAAACAAAAAACCCCCACTTCCCCTCATCCAATTTATGAGTTTTTAGGGATTTAAAAATCGGGGACGAACCCCAGAAAATAATTTATAGTTTTCCCGAAGCATTGAGAACAACACCTTTCAAATGAACCAACGCCCCTCGCAATTAGTACAGTGGTTGATTCACAATTTCATTATATTTTTCAAATTAGATATTAAGATGGGGCACGGTGCTGATGTCCTTATTTTGTGAGGACTATTATCAAATACATGATTGTTTTCATTTTGGATTTGAAGGAAAAATCTTGCATACATGCAACGCAGGTACATAATGGGACAGTTCTTTTTGGGCAATACGTAATACTGAAACGTCCAACTATCTTGGCTCGTATCATTTAGTTTTAAAATGAATCAGCTCGAAGACATTACTTTTGAAGAGCTGATACGAAGGAATTCGTGCAGTTTTGGGCATAGTTGAAAGTAGTCTGGTCTTAAACTAAGGAAATTCTGGGGGGAAAAGAATCGTTGCTCTTGCAATGCTCACGGTAGATTTCAGGCTCCCTCTTTACTTCCCTCCTTACTTTTATTTTCGTAGTAAGAATGTTACTTTTGTGGTAAAAATACTTTTGCATCGGTTTCGATGATAAAAACATTGTAAATGCAATTATTCTCTTTCCTCCGTGTTGCCATACATCTTTGCATACTATATTTTGACGGTGTAAGTCGGCAATCACATAACTCGGTTTGCAACGTCGCAGACTTCCTGTCATACTTTATTTTTTAAACGGAAAACTACTCAACGACAATTCTTTAAAACTGACTGACGATGACGTGATTTTTCTTCTCTGTGTGAAGATAATTCTGCAAAAACTTCAAGGAATGATGTCAATTTGTACTCCTTTAAAAAAAATAACAAAGAGGCGGAGATTTTCAGACATCGCGAACGAGTTATGTGATTGCCGACTTACACCGTCGCGTCGCTTTACTCCTTTTAATCCTGTTGGAACCTGTCAGTGCAGACAATGTTACTTCTTCGCTCCACCCAAGCTATTCAAAACCTTATATACAGGGGCGGACTGGCCACGGGGGCGGGGAGGCGATAGCCTCCTAACAATTTGCCGCGAAGGTCCCGAGGGGGCCCCCGCGGCGAATTTTTTTCGAGTCATCGTTTTCTCCCCGTAATGTTTTAATTTTCCTATCCTTATCAGTCACTAAAAGGCCCCAAAATCTTTAAAAATTTGTCTCTAAGAGACATGAAAGGTCGCCTAGAGCTATGTGATGAAGGGACCCCCGAAGAATCTTGAGAATGGGTTATTTTGAAGTTCAAGAACTGTAGAATTTAACTCCAATAATGATTAAAATTGCGTTTAAAAAGTGTGAAATTTTCAAAATTTTCCGGGGGAGGGCCCCCGGACCTTCTTAGAGGGCCCCCCGAACAACAGGAGGGGCCCCCACATTTAGGTCGCCTCCTAACTTTTCGACTACCAGTCCGCCCCTGCTTATATATAATATAGATCAAGCAGCAAAATCGTTTTTCGTGGATTGATCCTGTTCGAAGAAGCTTTCATAAAATAAATGTATAACTTTTTTAGAGAGAGAAAGTAAGTTTTAAAGTTTGGATATATTCAAAAGAAAAATCTCTTAAAAAATGAAAATGTAACTCACCAATGGAAGGTCTAAGAATCATAGCAGGAAGTCCAGCCTCCGTAAATTCTACTACTAATCCTTCTGAAAGATTTTTGGTGTAAGCGTAAGAGTTCGGGAAGTTTTCGAGGATTCTGTAAAAACGTACAAAAAAATACGAATCACTTTTGGATTTGAGGTTTATAAATGAGAAATGGGGCCTCTTTGAAAACAGCCTTTAGCGTTAGGATTTATCAGTTTAAATTTTGAAATATGTCTCATTTTATCATTGCAATGAGCAACAAGTTTTTTTTTGTTTTTTTTTGTTTTTTCTTTGTTTTTTTTTTTTTTAAATATTGAGAAAGTGTGTTGAAATTATAATGAATTTAGTTGTGCGAGTGCAAAAGAAATTTACTGAATTACAATCTGAAAACCACACATCGATGGCTTAGTTGCGAGACCTCATACCTCCGTTTGCGACGTTGTAGAATTCCATTTATACTTTTTTTTCTTAGAAAACCAGTCGACGTAATTGCTTGAAAACTTCCTTGATTTTTCTATTTTGTGAGTATAATTTTCTGTGTAAATTTCAAGCTGTTAAGTTGACTTGTTCCTCTTTGAAAAAATGCACAAAGAGCCAGTGGCGTGGCGTGTTTTGCGATGTATCGATTGTTATGCCATTTAAACCTATGGTAAAGAATCGATTATTAAGGTGTTCGCTGCGAACACCCTGTTTATCGATCCTTTTCCGTAAGTTTTAATGGTAAAACAATCGATGTATCGCAATTCACGCCACGCCACTGCTAGGAGCAGAGGTTTTGAAACACCGCAATGGAGATAAGTGATGCAATTCAGCTATCGATGTAACTACTTTTCTGTAAGATTGTGTAAAACGGCTTTGACATGTCGACTTGATGGAAGTTTCTCAAAAATAAAACAAGATCAGAGATTTTGGAACGCTGTAATGGAGATACGTGTTTTGCCACTTTGAACATCGATACGGTAGCTAAAACGAACATTGCCAAAGTTAGAGTCAGCGCTAATTAAGAGCAGCAATTTTCCGGAGGGTGATGTGATTTTCCCCGACGGATCGGTTTTCCTCATTCTGGGAGGACGGAAAGTCATCTGATTGCAGTGGGTAAAATTAAAATGACCTCGACCTTCCGTAATTAGAGAACTCGCCACAAAGCTTGGTGAAGATCCCTCTTGTGGCGCGGTGAAGCCAAACTCCGTCATCAAAGACGTCAAAATCATTATCCAAAAAAGCATCAACTGAGGACTAGCGTGTTTTAATTCCAAGTTCAGATATCATCGCTCATCTGACGTAAGGGCGTATCTCGATCTCAACGTGAGCCACGGGAAGCATACAGTTACACGGACCTCAGGGCTCACGTGGAAAAGGAACGCTCTTATGTCAAAGGTACGACAATATGCTGTTATCCACTCTCTCACATGCTTTACGGCCATTCTACAGGGTGTCCCAAGATTAAATACGAATATTGAAGGAGTCGATTCTTTGAGTCAAAAGAAGACGTTCTTGTGGTATGACTTTTTTTCGAAAAACGCTTTCCGTGGGGGCCTCATTATCCCCCTATTATCAGCTCCTATTATTCCCTATTATAGTCCCTAGAATTGATGTCGAACATCGCCGAAATTGTAATCAGTGAGTTGCCTGAACGAACAAAAGTGATGTAATTTTATTTAAAGTTCTTTAAGCCTTAAACAATAAAGAGCTTTAAAAAAAATTACGTCGCTTTGATTCGTTCAATCAATTTACTCATTTTGCATTAAGGAGCGACTATTTTTGGCTCATCTTTAAAAACACTTATCTACGTAGGGAACCTAATTCGGTACATATGTTGTTTCTAAAATTAACCAGAGAAAGTAGCTTCTTATTGCAAAATTCAGCCCATTTTTTATGCCTGCTCAAAGTTTGATAGTCGAACTAGACATAAAGCGTCCGAAAAACTTCCAAGATCTTAGTGGCGAGGAACGATTCTGTTTAGTTTCTATCGGAGTTTTTTTTTTTTTTTTTGCACAAAAAAAATAAATAAAATTTGTACAGAAAATGCATTTAGACATATAAAATGTCTTTAAAATGCTTAATTTAAGTTTAGCTTAAATTACACTAGCTATTAACTAAGATTTAACATAGTGTATACTACCTAAAAATTAACTGGAGTAAAAATAAAACATATGTATTATAAAATAAATATGTTTTTTCATTTTAACTGAATTACGACGGGCTGACCCGTCCAAAGATCAAGTGTCTCCTGACAAGTCCATAGAGCAATAGGAGCTTTTATCGGAGTGCAATTCGTTGAATGCAGGTAGGCCGTGACCTTAGCCTCCGTCGATGGCACGGTATGACGTTGAGCCGTTCCAAAGCTGGCCTCAAATAATTGGTCCAAAGACAAGAAATCGGTGTCAAGCTAGCGGCCAAGATTGCTGGGATCATGTCCCAGCAATTACCTCCGTTTTTTCTGGAGCAGAGTCCACCGAGAATCCGAAGCAGTAACAAGGTCATGGGAGCCCGAGGGCGCGCAGGACCATTAATTCTGCTGCAATAATTCAGAGGGTCTTTCTTTTTCCTTGTAACTTGAGGTTTCCTGCTGTTCCTTCAATCTTGAGCATAGACAAACAAATAAATGGACGTAATGGAGATGTTGCATGTGCGAGGGATTTGCGATTTGACCATTGATTCTTATGTAGAAGTTCGCGAGAAACACGATGGTGCCACTGGTTTTCTCTGAAATCATATCCCAAGCTCAAAAAAAGCTCTCAAAGTGAGGCCAAAATAGAGGGGATATCCCACCCTACCCTGAGAGTCCACCTCTACGTCAAAATAAACTCTCCATGCAAAGATAGGGAGCAAATACATTAGCAGTGTTGCCGAGTTTTCAGTTTTAGAGTCCCCAAATAAAGTGGCAGCCCTGTCAATGTATTTGCTCCCTATCTTTGCATGGAGAGTTTGTCTTGATGTAGAGGTGGACTCTCAGGGTAGGGTGGGATATTCCCTCCATTTTGGCCTCACTTTGAGAGCTTTTTTTGATCTTAGGAGTTGATTTCCGAGAAAACCAGTAGCGCCATCGTGTTTTCCGCGAACTTTTACATAAGAATCAATGGTCAAATCGCAAATCCCTCCCACGTGCATGCAACATCTCCATTCTGCTGAACGGAACTTTGGGAAATCCCTGATGACCTACTTCTCCAAAAAGTCGTCTCTGTTGACCATATAATTTCTTATGTTAGTTACGTCAACTTCTAAATCACATTCCTTACATTACCTAATTTGATTTCCCCGGCAGTAAAGCTAGAACAATCTGTGAATTTGATTCGCCCAAGTGTCAGTGCGCCTAAATCAAACGGATTGACGATAAGCACTTACTTTTTGGCTACAGATTCGACTAGCGCTTCGTCCATGAGTTCGACGCTTTTGATGATTTTGTGAGGATTTGCTGCCGGTGGGTATGACTTCTCGTACAGAACTTTTTCTTGTAAGTGACAATAAGAGGTAGAAATATGTACAAACACCTGGAAACAGACGAATGTATTAACTTTGCTTCGAAATGTAAAATGGATCCTCTGTCTGATATTATAAAACGACTTGATTAAGGAGTCATCAAACCTAAGGGACCTCAAAGGACCACAACCCGCCACACTGCGGCTGATTATTGGAATTAATAGACAAAGCAATAGACAAAGGGTAAATGGAGGGATTCTTTGAAACGGTGCTTCTCATAAGGTCAGCAACTGTAGGGTAGGATCTCTCGTGAGTTGCCGTTTGTCAGTCTATAACTCACCTTCTTTTGTCTGTTGCAACCAGCCGTTTCCACGAGTAGGATTGCTCAATTTTCTTTATCCTCCTTCTCTATAGCTTTGTCTATCAATTTCAATAATCATTCAATAATTTTCATTCAAAATTGGAGAAATAAGTGAGACAGACAAATACAAGAAGATACAATTACGGGTAGTTGTTTTTTGTACGTCAGCGTTAAACTCTCCGTGGAACCAAATAGAGGAGAGTATTCAAGAGAATCTGTCGGTGTTTTACAAATCTGCTGAGATGTTTGAAGTCATCACTACTCAGTGGGGTGACCTCTGACAGTCATCGATAAATTGCGCTCTTTTAAGCCTGGGTAAATCTACTATGAAAGTAAACTGACATCGTGATATCTAAAATGTTTATTCAATGACTAGGGTTTCACTCTGACTTTTTGCAAAAAAACCTACCTATTGCGCCCGCAGGCACACTTCATTTGTTTCTTCTCGAAGAACCTATTTTCTACACCTAGGCACAGCTACAAATAAGCAAACGCGGAATATTGCATTCTATTTAATAAGTAGAACGGTTAATTTTTCCGTTTGAATCCTCTCAGCTTTATTTCGATTCCATGATAAAGATTTAAAAAAAAAGAAGAAAAAAAAAAACCTGCTAAAATGTGCTTAAACGTGTAATTGATAAATTTCCTGCCAAAACTTTAAAGAGAAATCAGTATTTAAGGTTTAGATGTATGCTCATTCTCACAATGAAATCATTTTAAGGAGCCTTTTCTGAATAAATTGAAGGTCTGTAACAAGACAGGCGACTTGTGAAGATTAATACTTGTTGTGAGTATATTTGACTCGATATTTCCATCACGATTGAAAATATTTAAGTCGAGGAAGTGAAAAGGTCTTACTATCGGTCCTTGGTTCAAATGATCTGCCATTCTCAAAGTTTATGTTCGATTTGGGATGTATCTGATGAGAGCCCTTCTAACCTCCTTATTGGCCGACTTACAGCTTGAATAAAACTGTCAGTCATCAGGCCGTAATGCATCAAAAAGATGAAATATCATCGTTCAATAATTAAAACGGATGATGTAATTTCGGTGCCTTTTAGACTCGTCTCATCGTCGGACTAATATCCATAGTTGTCAAACAGTTTTTCAGAAATACTGACACTCTGCATATTCTGGTCCCATTCAATTATTGTGAGAAAGAACTGGGGCACTGCCGATATTTTCTTGGAATGTGAGAGGATAATGGTAAAAGGACATAGGAATTTTTTTCAAACTGTATCCTTTCAAATAACCCTTTCCTCGCTTTCTATATGATTTCATTTCCATTTTCTTTTATGCCAATTATTTTTGACCAAACACATCAATACATTGCAACTTTGCCGAATTTTCACTCATAATTTTTATTTTCACTCGGAGACGAAAGGTTTTCTCAAAAATTTGTCGCTATTTTCACGGATTGGGGTTCAGTGTTAGTTCGGGAAAAAGCTATGGGCTCCCGTTTTTGTGTGAAAAAAAATTAGTGAGTAGATTTAGCAACCCTGGGATGAAAATACATTCGCCCATCTATGAAAAGCAACGCTTTCTCTAGTCCCTTTCTATAGAGAGTTGAGACAACGCGGCTCATGGATGTCACAAACGGGAATAAAGATTACACAAATTGAAAGTTTTTTCTAATCTTTGATCAACTCATCCCTGAATTCCTACCTCCGTTCCCTCTCTCATTCCGTTTGTTCCTTGCCGTGCCCCTAATATCCCGGTCCATTCCAATTTATAATCTTTGCAATTGGTGAAAATTTAATATGCATCCCCTTTTCCGACACTGTGGAAGTCTAAACCACGGGAACCAATCAGAAATGGATTTGTATTGTCTTCACTCTTAGTTAGAGTACCTGTATAACGAGAGTATGGACAGATCGCTTCATGGAGGGCTTAGGGCCCAAAAGTGCAGCCACCCTTCTAACCAACTTCTATCGCACAAAATTTCACTGCCAGTCTGTAGATTCCAATTCTAACGAAGATGGCTAAGAAAGTACATAAATGAGCGTTCTTTCACAAAAAGGATTAAATTTATGCAAAAACTAAGTCAAATACGTGCTTTATAAACGATGGCTCGTAACAATTGTATTAATAAATCGCTCTAGATAATTGAAATTCATAGGTTGGCTGCATTTCTGGGCCTTAACTTTATTCGCGGAGGCATCGGTGAAGGCCTGATGGATTTTGGGAGTTTCACATCTGTCTATACTCTCGCTATACAGGTACTCTACTCTTAGTATAAAGAAACTATTTGTCTACCTTCAATTTTAAAGAGTACTTACTAGCAATTTTTTCATCTCCTTAGCGAGTTCAAGGGTGTATTTGGTTCCGCGGGTGTTGAGGAGGACAGCTTTCCTGAGAGGCTCGTCGAATCGGATAGTGGCTGCACCGTGGAAAACTATTTCCACCTCCTCGGCCAACATTTTCCTGTCCTCGCTGCTGAGCCCAAGGTTAGGCTCCATGACGTCACCGGCAACGCACGAAACCTTCTTCGTGATTTCCTCGCCCCTCATTATCTTCAGCAGATCGAAAAGCTGCAACAATCGAAAAATTGAATTAAATGTGTGTATGTACCTCAAAATAGGCAGATATTTGGACTTACATATATTTGGATTGCATTTTGCAAAAAGGAACCACTAGCATTGCAATGATGCTAAGATTGTGCAACTTCATCCTTTGCAATAAAATTGCGGAAATTGTGAAAAACTATGAAATTTAGATGGTAATTTTTGTCTTAAATTTACAGTTTTTAGCGAGTAAAATAGAAACTATTAAGGGATGATCGGGTTTTTCCTCCAAGACAAAAGAAGTTGCACAATCTTAGCAACATTGCAATGCTAGTGCAGTTCCTTTTTGCAAAATGCAATCCATTTAAGCCTTCATTTCTTTCTGACTCGTTCTACAAAGAACGTATACGGCGGTGGTTTCTCCGTGTAAATATGCGCTTTTAACGTCGTCTTCCGGACGAAGTAACGTAACTTAATTCGGAGGTTGCCGAATTAACTTGAACAATTGATTTCTTTTACAAACTGATTGCAGTAGATGCGCAAGTCATTTAGACGGAAAAAGTTTTTGTCGAAACGCGTCTGAAGTTGCCTTCGTAAACGGTCGTAACTAGTGTTGCGCACCAAACAGCACTCATCTCTTTGAGGGGAAATTTTGCTCATATGAGCTTTCTCCCTCTGTATTGAGCTTTCAGCTTTATTCTGATTTTTAACGCACATTGGCTACGTCACCAACTTTTTCTGATTTCTTTCACAAAAATATGCGTGTGCAATTTTTATCCAAAAGCCGTCCGATTTTTGCATCACGTCTGAGAGAATTCAGATAATATTTCAGTTAGTAATGCCCAAGACTCTCTTGGTTAATATGCATTTTGCAAGGACAGATATGGACGGATAATGGAGCTACGTTCTTTCTTGAGGGAAACAACGTTATGGAAAAGCTCTTTGAAAACTGAAAATTTATCTGGATTCCCTCAGATTTTCATGCAAAAATCGGACGGCTTTTGGATAAAAATCGCACATGCATATTTTTGTGAAAGAAATCAGAAAAAGTTGGTGACGTAGCCAACCTGAAAGTCTCAATACAGAGGGAGAAAGCTCACATGAGCACAATTTCCCCTGAAAGAGATGTGCTGTTTGGTGCGCAACACTATAGTTACGACCGTTTACGAAGGCACCCGGCTCTCTAAACCCTGCGACTTCTTTCGAATGCATAGGACACACTTCAAACGTCCGCACGACAGCACTGCCGAGCTAAAGAAAAACGCCGTATTACCCTTCAGGCATTGCCAAATTTCCTTTGATAAAACACGAATTTCCTCGTAGATTTATGAATATCTTTCTCTCAGTTTTTAAAATAATTTTGTTCGCAAGTTCACCTAAAGCTCCTGAAAATTTCAAGAAAAGATATTCTTAAAAATCCTTGAAAATAAGCATTTTATTGGAGGAAATCTGGCAACTCTCGAATGCTCATGCGGCGTTCTTCCTTACTACGGCAGAGCACGGCTTCCCAGATCTTACGAGCGATTGGGTAAGGGGCCGCGTAAGACTATACATGCATGCTAGTCGCGCAGTCTAGGAAAGCCACCGCCACCTCTAATAAGAGTTCATGATGACCAAACCTGTTTTGGTCACAAACTCAGAGCCGTCTCAAGAAATCCGATGCCGTCAAATTTTTCGTTAAATCGATGGATTCTGCCCGGGATAACGCAATTTTACAACGGATCACGGCGCGATGTGGCAACCCCGAAAAGAAAATTACGAGTACGCATTTTCGAAAATTATGTGACGGGTTTTGCGGCCGAAAATTGAATTTGTTATGTCTTGCATTCGGGCGTTGTTGCATCATTTTTGCACTTTCCACTTTATTTAAATTGATAATTCGAAAAAAAACAGAGACCTTCGTGATTATTTGTTTATCAATGACTCATTTCAAAGTGTATTGCCTCTACTGAATCTTTCAAAATTTAAGATTTCTTTTTACAAATTATGATGCAATCAGGCAAACCGTGTTTTGGGTGGGGAGAAATGAAATGAATATATTTTATAAACTTATATTACACTTTTTAGAAATAAATTAGATAGTGCAACTTAGAGAGGATAATTCTGTATTTTTCGGGACAATAAACACCTGAAAATCCCAAAAATTAACCTTTCGACGGTGGTCGAAGTTTGAGGGCTGAAAATGGGGGATGTTTAAAACTCTGCTGGATTTTTCTGGCGCTTTTGCTATCCCTCGAAACGATATCCTTCGAAACGAACACAGAGTTTTTTTCTCAGTGAAAAGCTATCTGCATTTAAGTTTAACCGGAAAGGAATATCGATGGGCAACGTGCGAAACCACGTGACTCAGTTTACGACGTTTCAGATTCCTTGTCATACTTTATTTTCTTTTAGAAAACCAGGAGATGTACTTTCTTGAAAACTTCTTTGATATTCCTACTTCCGTTGAAGAATATCCAGTATAAATTTCAAGCTATAAAGTTGGCTACTCCCTCTTCGAAAAAATAAAATAGAAGCGACAACGAAAACATCACAACGGAGATGCGTGGTTTTACACTTCGGTCGCATCGATACACACACACTGCCGTGCTAAGGAAAAACGCCGTATGAACCTTCAGGCTTCGCCTAATTTCCTTTGATAAAACACGAATTTCCTGGTAAGTTTATGAATATTTTCCTTTCAATTTTTCAGATAATTTTGTACCCAATTTCACCTAAAATTCCTGAAAATATCAAGGAAAAATATTCATAACTTCCCTAAAAAATGAACATTTTATTGAAGGGAATGTGGCAACTATCGAATGTTCATACGGCGTTCTTCCTTAACCCGGCAGCATAGGATTGTACTGCCGTGCTAAGCAAGAACGCCGTAAATCCATCAAGATTTTCCCGCATTTTTTTAACTTAACACTTAATAAAATAAAAACTGTTTTACCCATGTACCTCAAATTTTCAGGTTTAGTTCTTGATGGCGTTTGAGAGAAAAATTTGTAAAAACATTTTCCTAAATTACACAAATTTTTTTGCTATGAAACATTGTTTCCAAAAAATTTATAATGGCGTTTACGGCGTTTTTGCGTTGCACGGCAGTGTAGGATTATATAGGATTTGTGACTTCAAAGTCCCTTTTGATTGATTTATTTCCACATAATTTCTCTCGGCCCAAATACGTCTATTTGTATTCACCGGACTTTTGCAGAAACGCAAATTAAACTTCTCCTTTATTCATGTGGAGCCCGCAAACGTATCGTGTAGCTTGCAAATGCCTCTCGCCACTTCCGGACCAACGAGGTAATAACGTCTGAAACGGCATTTGAATTACGAAATGTCTGAAATCGGTCGAATCTCACGGGCGGCCAGGCCCACTCTAGACAAAAGAGAAATTTCGGCTGTCCAGCCGTAATCGTGAATCAAATGGACTTACTTCTGCCAAATGGAGCTATGTGCATAACGGCATGAGCCCTGTCATGCATATATTCTCATGGGTCTCAGGGCTCATGTCTTAAGGCTCATAGTTCCATTTGGCAGAAATACGTCTAAATTTTGTCCGGACCCGCCGAATTTTGCAGACCGTAACAGAAACACATAGTGCGGCACGTGTGGTTTCAAAATGCCTGGTTGCCATACTTTCTCTCTTAGTGCTATAATCATCTCGCAGGATGACAGGCTCATGGTCATTTTTCACGGTCTTTTGGTCTCTGAGGAGAAATTTCGTCGACGCGTTTTCGTTCTACTCTCGTGGATTGTTCAAAAGCCGTTTCGAGTTGAACTGTTTTCAAGTTCTAAGTCAGTTTGATTTATGGGAAGCGATTAAATAACCGGTTCACGAAAACCGAGTTACAGGACATTTTTGAAAGAAGAGTGTCCCATGTACCACAGTGCACCGAAAATGACAGTATGATTTCGCAACTTAATGCAATGAAAATGCAATTTTAACATCATCTGGTTGATAAATGCAGAACTTAAAAGTTATTCAAATGTGCTCCATGACTATGTGCAAGAGAGGTTGGCAACTTGCAATGCAAAATAAACTGAAACTTTTCCAATTTGATCGCAAACAATTTCATACACTGGAAAAAAAAACATATTGGATCTAGAGTCCGAGTCCAGACTCTTAAAAACATTGACAAGAAAAAATACTCTTGATTCAATCGAATTTTTGCTTAAATCAAGAACCAAGCCTCTTAATTTGAGCGGATTTCCTTTTGATTTAAGCAAAAATCTGATTGAATCAAGAGTCCGTTTTCTTGTCAATGTTTTCAAGAGTCTGGACTCTAGACCCAATGTGGTTTTTTTTCCAGTGTAATGTGGAGCCCCTTCAATTAGCGTTAGTGTTTTACTATTAGTGTTTCACTTCCTGTATTAACCAAACTTTTGTGTTGAATTTTCTCTCTGTGCACTATTCATAGCTCGTTTCAAAAACAACATATACGTGCCTTCAGTTCCTCTGATCCGAGGTCCTTTAATGCCAAATGTAGTTCAATAGGTTGCAGTCGTCCCTCAAAAAACCAATCTTTAACAGGAAATTTTAGAAATTCTAATTAGCCCGGGAACAAATGGGAAAGCGTGGAGACTTGAACGCCAGGGTAGAAGAGTAAACCATTTAATGACGTGACAACTCGATCCCTATTCGTTTAGTCCTGCGAACTTATCATTGACATTGATGTACAAAGTGATCGACAAAGAAGACGAAGGGAGGCTGGAGGGATCCTGTTGGTTGAAACGGGTGGGTGCTCCCGATGGACTAACCAAAGGGTCTCTCATTGGTTACCGTTGGTTAGTCTATTACTTGCCTCATTTGTCAATTGCAACCAGCCGCTTCCCCCAATACTTGCCGTGCTACGGAAAAACGCCGTATCAGCCATCAAGTGTGGCCAAGTTTCCTTCAAAAAACTATCAATTTTCAGGAACCTTTGCGACTCTTTCTCTTCCAATTTTTCGGAGGATTTCGTTCGAAATTTGATCGAACAAGTCTAAAATTTTCAAGAAAAAAATATTCAAAACTTTCTTGAAAAATAAACATTTTC